AATCGCTGGAATTCATCAGCGAACGTCGCGGAGCATTGTGCAATTCCATACCATGTGCCAAGTCGAGCGACATTCGATGGCAAAATGTTTGCCGCCAGCAGGGGTCGAACCTGCGACCTTGGGCTTATTAGACCCACGCTCTAACCGACTGAGCTATGGCGGCTGATGCATTCAGAACACGGACGAAACATTTTCATTTTCCGCTCAAATCGCTGGAATTCATCAACGAATGTTGCGGAGCATTGTGCAATCTCATACCATGTGCCAAGTCGAGCGACATTCGATGGCAAAATGTTTGCCGCCAGCAGGGGTCGAACCTGCGACCTTGGGCTTATTAGACCCACGCTCTAACCGACTGAGCTATGGCGGCTGATGCATTCAGAACACGGACGAAACATTTTCATTTTCCGCTCAAATCGCTGGAATTCATCAGCGAACGTTGCGGAGCATTGTGCAATCCCATACCACGTGCCAAGTCGAGCGACATTCGATGGCAAAATGTTTGCCGCCAGCAGGGGTCGAACCTGCGACCTTGGGCTTATTAGACCCACGCTCTAACCGACTGAGCTATGGCGGCTGATGCATTCAGAACACGGACGAAACATTTTCACTTTCCGCTCAAATCGCTGGAATTCATCAACGAATGTTGCGGAGCATTGTGCAATCTCATACCATGTGCCAAGTCGAGCGACATTCGATGGCAAAATGTTTGCCGCCAGCGGGGGTCGAACCTGCGACCTTGGGCTTATTAGACCCACGCTCTAACCGACTGAGCTATGGCGGCTGATGCATTCAGAACACGGACGAAACATTTTCATTTTCCGCTCAAATCGCTGGAATTCATCAGCGAACGTTGCGGAGCGTTGTGCAATCCCATACCATGTGCCAAGTCGAGCGACATTCGATGGCAAAATGTTTGCCGCCAGCAGGGGACGAACCTGCGACCTTGGGCTTATTAGACCCACGCTCTAACCGACTGAGCTATGGCGGCTGATGCATTCAGAACACGGACGAAACATTTTCATTTTCCGCTCAAATCGCTGGAATTCATCAGCGAACGTTGCGGAGCATTGTGCAATCCCATACTATGTGAAAATGTCGAGCGACATTCGATGGCAAAATGTTTGCCGCCAGCAGGGGTCGAACCTGCGACCTTGGGCTTATTAGACCCACGCTCTAACCGACTGAGCTATGGCGGCTGATGCATTCAGAACACGGACGAAACATTTTCATTTTCCGCTCAAATCGCTGGAATTCATCAGCGAACGTTGCGGAGCATTGTGCAATCCCATACCATGTGCCAAGTCGAGCGACATTCGATGGCAAAATGTTTGCCGCCAGCAGGGGACGAACCTGCGACCTTGGGCTTATTAGACCCACGCTCTAACCGACTGAGCTATGGCGGCTGATGCATTCAGAACACGGACGAAACATTTTCATTTTCCGCTCAAATCGCTGGAATTCATCAGCGAACGTTGCGGAGCATTGTGCAATCCCATACCATGTGCCAAGTCGAGCGACATTCGATGGCAAAATGTTTGCCGCCAGCAGGGGACGAACCTGCGACCTTGGGCTTATTAGACCCACGCTCTAACCGACTGAGCTATGGCGGCTGATGCATTTCTTGGGCTTATTAGACCCACGCTCTAACCGACTGAGCTATGGCGGCTGATGCATTCAGAACACCGACGAAACATTTTCATTTTCCGCTCAAATCGCTGGAATTCATCAGCGAACGTTGCGGAGCATTGTGCCATCCCATACCATGTGCCAAGTCGAGCGACATTCGATGGCAAAATGTTTGCCGCCAGCAGGGGTCGAACCTGCGACCTTGGGCTTATTAGACCCACGCTCTAACCGACTGAGCTATGGCGGCTGATGCATTCAGAACACGAGCGAAACATTTTCATTTTCCGCTCAAATCGCTGGAATTCATCAGCGAACGTTGCGGAGCATTGTGCAATCCCATACCATGTGCCAAGTCGAGCGACATTCGATGGCAAAATGTTTGCCGCCAGCAGGGGTCGAACCTGCGACCTTGGGCTTATTAGACCCACGCTCTAACCGACTGAGCTATGGCGGCTGATGCATTCAGAACACGGACGAAACATTTTCATTTTCCGCTCAAATCGCTGGAATTCATCAACGAATGTTGCGGAGCATTGTGCATTCTCATACCATGTGCCAAGTCGAGCGACATTCGATGGCAAAATGTTTGCCGCCAGCAGGGGTCGAACCTGCGACCTTGGGCTTATTAGACCCACGCTCTAACCGACTGAGCTATGGCGGCTGATGCATTCAGAACACGGACGAAACATTTTCATTTTCCGCTCAAATCGCTGGAATTCATCAGCGAACGTTGCGGAGCATTGTGCAATCCCATACCATGTGCCAAGTCGAGCGACATTCGATGGCAAAATGTTTGCCGCCAGCAGGGGACGAACCTGCGACCTTGGGCTTATTAGACCCACGCTCTAACCGACTGAGCTATGGCGGCTGATGCATTCAGAACACGGACGAAACATTTTCATTTTCCGCTCAAATCGCTGGAATTCATCAGCGAACGTTGCGGAGCATTGTGCAATCCCATACCATGTGCCAAGTCGAGCGACATTCGATGGCAAAATGTTTGCCGCCAGCAGGGGACGAACCTGCGACCTTGGGCTTATTAGACCCACGCTCTAACCGACTGAGCTATGGCGGCTGATGCATTTCTTGGGCTTATTAGACCCACGCTCTAACCGACTGAGCTATGGCGGCTGATGCATTCAGAACACCGACGAAACATTTTCATTTTCCGCTCAAATCGCTGGAATTCATCAGCGAACGTTGCGGAGCATTGTGCCATCCCATACCATGTGCCAAGTCGAGCGACATTCGATGGCAAAATGTTTGCCGCCAGCAGGGGTCGAACCTGCGACCTTGGGCTTATTAGACCCACGCTCTAACCGACTGAGCTATGGCGGCTGATGCATTCAGAACACGAGCGAAACATTTTCATTTTCCGCTCAAATCGCTGGAATTCATCAGCGAACGTTGCGGAGCATTGTGCAATCCCATACCATGTGCCAAGTCGAGCGACATTCGATGGCAAAATGTTTGCCGCCAGCAGGGGTCGAACCTGCGACCTTGGGCTTATTAGACCCACGCTCTAACCGACTGAGCTATGGCGGCTGATGCATTCAGAACACGGACGAAACATTTTCATTTTCCGCTCAAATCGCTGGAATTCATCAACGAATGTTGCGGAGCATTGTGCAATCTCATACCATGTGCCAAGTCGAGCGACATTCGATGGCAAAATGTTTGCCGCCAGCAGGGGTCGAACCTGCGACCTTGGGCTTATTAGACCCACGCTCTAACCAACTGAGCTATGGCGGCTGATGCATTCAGAACACGGACGAAACATTTTCATTTTCCGCTCAAATCGCTGGAATTCATCAGCGAACGTTGCGGAGCATTGTGCAATCCCATACTATGTGAAAATGTCGAGCGACATTCGATGGCAAAATGTTTGCCGCCAGCAGGGGTCGAACCTGCGACCTTGGGCTTATTAGACCCACGCTCTAACCGACTGAGCTATGGCGGCTGATGCATTCAGAACACGGACGAAACATTTTC